GAACAGGACGAGGAAGATGCCGTGCCTGGCCCTATCCACAGCCCATTTTCCTGTTCCCAACAACTGATCTTTGACTAAGGAAGAAAGTAATGTAAAAATAGTGTGATAATCAAATTTAATCCGTTCAAAATGATAACAAGGGATGGAAAACAGGCCAGAAGTATGAGAGTTTTCCTTTCCTCATTCCAGTATCTTTTAGAATGAAAGTAAGATTGAAATGAACAACTGTTCGCTCAAGGACAAAAATAAAAGATGCGAAGTCTCAGAGGAGCCTGACCTGCGAGGTGCCCACCCCACCCCACCCCACCCCCAGCAGCGTTAGGGCAGCCAGGCCCCGCTCAGCGCAGCTGCAGGACCTAATTGAGCTTAAGCAAGTGCCTAAAAGTCAACGGACCGAGCCAGCGTGCGGCTCAGGTACGCAGAAGTTGCCCGATTCATCTGGCCAAGGCGCTCACCTTTGCTGGGGACGCCCCAGCACCCATCACAGCAAGCAACGGGGCCGCGCGAGCACCAGCGCCCTCACACCGGGCAAACTGCGTCTTCTCCCCCGGCCCTCCCGCCTCCCTCCCCAGGCGCAAGGGAGGTCTCAAACACCCCTCGTCCCCACCCAACCCAGAACAATATTCACACTTCTGGTTTGTTTTTTTTTTTTTTAAATGCAAAAAATTCACTCAGGATGCAAACCAGTCCAGAAGAGACACAGGCTACATACAAAAATCGGAGACACGATAAAGTCTTGCATTGAATGTCTACACGTATATCAACAGGCGTGCATACGGACAGTCACACCAACACCGACACAAGCAGCAATAATCTCACCTCCACCTAAACCACTCAAAGGCATTTTACGTTTTTTTGTGTCTTTTATTCTTTTGTTCCAGAAGGCCACTTTTAATTAAAACAAAGAAAGAGAGACAAGTAGTCCAACACCAGCAGGCAGCAGCCTGGCCAGGCGTCGGCCCTGCACGGCGATACGCTGCGCGCCAAGAGCCGGCAGTGCATTTCCTACCCGGATAAACGCTGCGCGGTTTTGAGAGAGCAGAAGCCTCTGCAGAAGGGACAGCACCTCTGCCCAGCGCTCTGCTCAAGGAAACAAAGCCCGATCCTGCCAGGGGCCGGGGGGCCGCCCAGCTGAGCCCTCCTTGCCTTCGACACCCAGTATGCAGCCCCAGCACGGGGACACACACACACACACACACGGGCGTGCAGAAGAGGCCTGACAGCAGCGGTTTGCCTCCAGCCCCGTTTTCCCGGGTGTGAGAGCTGGGGCGCCGGCTGGCCCCACCATGCCCCCAGCC